TCGTAATCGGCACCGATGACTGTGATTATCATCGATACCGGAAAGCTGTGATCCGCACTGGTATAACGCCTGCGGTTGCAGAGCAACCAAGAAGGGCTGTGACCAGTACCGACATCGATAGCCGTGATCGGCATCGATACAATTCCTGCCGGTGCAGAGCTAACGTTGATAGCACCGATCGGAAGGTAGGATCAGCACCGTCAGCTGTAATCAACACCGGTGGCTGTGATGCCGGGATAGGATCACACCCTGTTGTTAGATCTGAGCTGATAGCAGCAGCAGCTATTGTGATCAGGATCGAGACACTCAAGACCCGATAGCACCGATCGGGAGGCTGTGAAGAGTACCGTGGGCTGTAATCAGCACCGATGGCTGCGATGTAAGGATGGGCTCACACTCTACTGTTCGAAACAGCAGCAGTTACTGTGATCAGCACCGATACTTCATGGACCGATCCCAAGGCTGCAGCGGACCTACGAAGGCGTAGATCACGGCGACGGAAGCAGTCTTACAGCATCGACTACGACTTCTATGGAGCAAGTTTTCGCCCACTTGGTTTCCCTGGCTCGTTATCCTAATAAGAGTCAGACCCGTCTTCACGAAGGCGTGAGGCACAAGAGGGGGAATTGTGTCACGGGGCGCTATGGAACGTGGCCAGGCGGCCAGGTAGCTAACAGCTTTTGCAGGCTCGATAGGGCTTCTTGTTGGGACCAGTATATCACACCTTGAGGCTACGGTATGCGTGCACCTGAAATCTGCCCCGAGGTCGTCCCAGCTACCTATTCCCGTCTGCTTTCAGATGCTGCTAAGCGTGGCAAATAGCTTCTTGCATCTCTCGGGGTTGGGACTTTATTTACTCCCTTGTTTGTTGTTTGTATATCTGCTTTCACCTTTTTGATCTTCGACCTACATCTGGCTGATTACGGTCCGGCCTCGACACATGTCGTTCTATGACTCGCAATCGCTGAGCCTTTGATCTTGCGATAGCATGCTTTGCTTTGCCTCTTCGGTTTTCTACCTTGCTAGGGTCTTTTCTTTCTGTGATCCATTTAATCCGTAAGGGAAGAGCGCAGTTGATAGCAGCCGCGCTGTTCCACCTTTAGATGCTTTCTAAGGCTGTCTTGTATTTAACTCCTTGGCTTAGCACGTCGCCGTACCCTATGGGTGGTCTTAGGGCGGCAGGCTTCGCCTGCTACCCGCCTGACGCAAATCAATACTACTATTACAATTTGCGTCTCTCGAGTGTATGCACTAAGTATACGGCCTTGGCTATAGCCTCCTTTCAGAGCTTTGTATGCACAGGACAGATCCGGCCTGGACACCCGTCGTTTTGCGACTGTAACATAGCTACGCTTCTAAGCTAGCAACGGCAGCATCTGCTTTGCTACTTTAGTTTTCCTTAACGAAAGGATTTTCTCTTATTGTGATCCAGCCTATCTGTAAGGTAAGGGCGCAACTGATAGCAGCTTCCGCTGTACCACTTTGGACTGCTATCTAAGGCCTTGTATGTGATTCCTTAGCTTACCACGTCGCTGTACCCTATAAGGGGTCCTACCCAGGGCGGCAAGCTCCGCTTGTCACCCGGCCGACGTTGATAAATACAATAATAACAACAACAGATGCGCGGGACAGTTTACGGACGAAGGCGGCGTCGCTTACAACGGCTCCCGCGATTTTATCCCTTTGGATTTGAACATGGACTACACATTCGATAGTATCGCAGCCGGCGAGAGCATCATTATCAGCGTGCCACTGCGGAACAACGGCGCGGCGCCGGCCTTGATATGGAGAACGTGTGCCCGCTCGTACTGTACACAGGCGGCAACATGGTCGACTCGTGGGCGCGCCCTTCTTCACCGCCGCTTTCGTCGCTTTCGACGAGACCCACAACTCTATCTACCTCGCTAAAAGGGCCGTCTCGGACCCGGAGTCGGCCGTGCGCTATCTTTTAATACTACGAATACGACACGCTCTTTCAGCCTCCAAACCATACCCCCCTCTCTGTTAATACTACGAACACGACCCGCTCTTTCAGCTTCCAAACCATACCCCCCTTCTGTGCCAGCCTCGGACTCTCGCTTTCGGGATCTCGATACTTTGATACGTCCATAGTTCAACCTGCGCGGATTCTTTATCTTGCGAGAGGTTTGGATTCGAACTGTGAAAGGGGCATCGTATAGCTAGCATTGCAAGCTTCTTACGAGGAAACAGCCTTTTGCTAGCTTTAGTACACCTTTTCATCAGCCTAAGACCTTCAAAACACCTTCGCGCTTTTTTTTCAATGCTAAAACGCAGCACAATCTCTACCAGCCTCGGAATCTCACACATAGCTTTAGAATATATAACGCGGCCCTTAACATTATGCCAGCTTTAAAACACACCTCTTTAATCTTTCCGCTAGCTTCTGGATCTTACACATCTCTGCTAGCTTCGGAAAATATATACGCGCCTCTTTTTAAATCTTGAACGCGGCCCTAACCTTTTGCCAGCCTGAAAACACACTTCTTTAATCTTTTGGCTAGCCTCGAACTCTTATACATAGCTTCAGAGCACATCCTCGCGCCTCCCGTTCAATCTTATAACGCGGCCCTAACATTCTGCCAGCTTCAAAACACACCCCTTTAATCTTTCCGCTAGCTTCTGGATCTTATTTACACTTGCCAGCTTCAAGAAATATATACGCGCTTCTTCTTTAATTTTAAACGCGGCCCCAACCTTCTGCTGGCCTAGGACACACTTCTTTAATCTTTTCGCCAGCTTCGGAATCTCATACCTTTCTGCCAGCTTAAGAATATACTTCTTTAATCTTTCCGCCAGCCTTGGACTCTTATACTACGTCGCAGGCGTAAGTATTACCCCTCGAGGGTAGGGAAAACGAGGGGTTTAAAGTGGAAAATAAACTTTTGAGGCACCCTCGAGGGGTAATACTTAGGCTTGTACCGTGGTACCTTTCTGCCAGCTTCAAGACATACCTTTCCAATCTCTCCGCTAGCTTTTGAATCTTGAATATCTCTGCCAGCTTCAGAAAATACTCCGCAACTCTTCTTAAATCTTAATCGCAGCCTCAAACTTTTGCCAGCCTTAAAACACCCTTCCTGAATCTCTTCGCAAGCTTCGGAATTTCATATCTTTCTGCCAGCTTCAGAACACACCTCTTCAATCTCTCCGCTAGCTTCTGAATGTTACACATCTTTGCCAGCTTCAGAAAATACCCCCGCGCCTTTTCTTAAAACGCTGCCCCAACCTTCTGCCGGCCTAGGACACACTTCCTAGATCTCTCCGATAGCTTCGGACTCTTATACCTTTTTGCCAGCCTCAAAACACACTTCCGAATCTCTCCACAAGCCTCGGACTCTTTCACCCCCCTCTGCCAGCCTCAAATACACCTCCTTAATCTCTTTGCAAGCCTCGGACTCTCATGCCCTTCTGCCAGCCTTAGAACATACCTCCTTAATCTTTCCGCCAGCCTCGGACTCTTATACCCCTCTGCCAGCTTCAAACACACTTCCTGAATCTCTCCGCTAGCCG